AATAAAAAATACCATTCTTTTTTATTAGTAAAATCAATATTTATTTCTATATTGATTTTATTTGGAATGATAGCTAGCAAATATATTTAAATTAAAATCTCTCTAAAATTTCCAATTGTTTCCTCCCTTGATCCATGCATATAACATTAAAGTTAATGGAAAATTAATTCCTTAAGTAAATCAATTCTAAATGTGTCATGGCTAATTATATCATGCACTAATTGGAATGTATGATGGACATCATGTAATTTATGTGCCTTATATGTTATCATATATACGTGCATTAATTATAATAACCTTAATAAATTTTGTAGATGCTCACAATATACAACATTAAAATTTAATATGAAATGTAATAGCGGAAAATTCCTCTCCCTAACTTTTTTTTTTTTTTTTCTTTTTTCTTTTCTATTTGGTTCCTCAAACCATATTTTCAATAACACAATTTTTTCCATTTTTCTTATGTTTTGATAAAGCATTTTATATATTTTTTTTTCGTTAGAAAACTCATTTATATGAACCAATGTTTCTTAAAATTGTATTTTACAAAAATACCAAATAACCAAACAAAGACTAAATGTTCTCCTAAGCATTATTTTTTAAAGAATGGAGTTTTACTAAAAAGGTTTAGGTCTGAAAAAAGTAATTAAGGTAAAAAAGGAATATAATGTATCTAAACTATTTTGAATTATTTAAATGATTATAAAATAAATATAAGTTATTATTATTTTTATTTGACAAATAAATAAATATTATATAAATTCCAATAAAAATGTTGGTCAGTGGCTTGCAGTGATAGCCAACAACAATGGCAAACTATTGTGAAAAGGGGAGATGATTGATGATGATAGTAGTTAGCGGCTAGCCACAAGTGGTAGACAAAATATATTGGTCGTTGGCTGCAACAATCACAATGATAAATATTTTGGAGCATATTTAGAAAATTGGTCTAATCTAATGATTTTCAAATAATCAAAATGATACTCAAAGTGAATTTCAAATACTTCAGATTGGCTAGAGGATTGTTCTTTGGCTAGCCGAGGTGATGTGAATGACTTGGTTGAGCCTACGAATGATTTGTTTAGTTTGAAGGTTATTTGTTCGAAGATGCTGCTTCCATGCTTGGAGGTGGAAACCTTAGTCGATGGAAAAACAAAAAGAAAGCTACAAAACAGTAACTCTTTGGTTGTGGTTGGTTGTTTATGATGCTGCTGATCGGGTTGTTGCTTGTCTAGCGTTGGTTTGCGATAGTAGATAGTAGACTACATGGAAGTTGGTGGCTTTTTCTGGGACATCTGCTGGTAGCTGGTTCTTTGGTTGGTTTTTAATTTTGTTTTTGTTATGGTCTTTGTAATTAGGTTGATTTTGAGGCTCATTGATTTTGTTTTAAATATTGTATTTTAGCGGGCTTTGGAGTCATTAAGGACTTACAATCTTGCTTTATATTAACACGTAGATCTTACTATTGTTGCGTCCTGGAGTAGGGTCGAACTTGGTGTCGTTGGGTTCATATTTTCGAGACGCTCAGTTCGACAGTAAGCTCGCTGAAATCGGAGTTCATTTGCTCCCGAATTTAATTTTAGAAGTTTCCAACTGGCTTTTGCCTCAAGATTCGTGCCCAATCAAGCTAATTTTATGACGACGTATCAACTATGAATTTTTTTTTTTAATTTTAAAATTTTACCATATTTCTTTTGCATCATGCCAATTAAAAACAATTTAAAAAATCTTGTATATCGAATACTTTATACCTAATTTACCTTAGACCAGGCAGGCCCTTAATCAAAGGTATTTTCCGCCTTCCACTTCATTCTTTCTCTTCTTTTCTCACCTTCAACACCCAGATTATAACAATGTGGTATCAAAACTAAATTTCATCTTCAGCTATAGTGTTCTTTCTGCTTATGTTTCAGTGTCTTTTTCATGTATAGCCCATCAAATACCTAGAGATTATTACATACGGAGTCCGGACCGTCCAGATTTGTGAGCGTACACAATAAATACATAACAAATACACAATTTTTATAAAAATTACATATTTACTACGTATTTATTGTATACCCTCATAAAATCTGTACGAATCTTACATTTGAACTCCACACGTAATAATCTCTCTCAAATACCACACCTACAGTCCTATTGATAGTTCAACGATCATAACCTTAATTGAGAAATCTTTCTACATTCATTATTCCAACAATACTGATGTCTCACTAGCTTCACAAATCCTAGGCATCTGTGCATCCTAGAGTCGCACAATGACAATCACTTTGTCTGCCAAAAAAAAAAAAAAGTTAGGATCCATGAATGGATTTTTAACAAAATTTGTAGGAACAGATTCTAATAATGTGAATTCTTGTATAAATAATTACTATTATACTTTTGAGTTTTTTAACATGATAAAAACTCCATTTGGTTGAAAAAAAAATGAAGTTTTTATATCTTATAATGCAGATGAATTAGATTAATCCTATTTTTTTTTAAAAAAAACATGTGTCTTACATCTATTCTCATGTGTGGCTAGGCTACAACAAAATTTTATGTTGAGCAAAAACATTTTTACATATCAAATATTTACTACTTCTATGTATTACCATACATTACAAAAAGTATATTATTTTACTTTTAGGGTTTTTGAATTTTTTGAATTTTCTTCTATGATTGTAACTCGTTGTACTAAATTTCAAGCAAGAATCTATACCTATGTTTTCATTGGATATCCTCTAAGCATGAGAGCATATAAACATTATGAACTAGAGATCCAACAAATTTTTACATGTCACGATGTATGAGGATCAATTCCCTTTCCAGTCTAATATGGCTGAGAGTAAAATTGTCAATCCTTTTTTTGATATTGTTATTGTCAAATGTACTATTAAAATACCTGCATGATGCCATGATAATCCTAAACATAGTATTAAACATATTGATGACAATATTTATTGTGAAACAAATGTAGATAAGCCATAAAGAATGCAAATCAGGCAATCAACAAGGGCCATAAGGCCTTCATAACATGATTATCATTGTCAATTGCTCACCTCACATAATGTCATTGCCGATAATGTTTCCAGCAACCTGTTAGGCATACCTAGCAAATAAGGTCCCTATATACATCTACAAACATATATGCTAGCTTTATGTAATTATCCATCATACAATTTTGTTTCTCATTTATATAAGAATTACATATTAAATATTTACTCCAATTTTGAGCCAACATTTTATTATAAAAAATGTTAAAATTAATGAATGGTAGCACTAAGACTTCGTTTGAGTCGGCTTTCTTACTGATTTCTAAAATAACTTTTTAGTTCAAAAATTTGTTGGACTAAAAATATTTATACTAAAAAGTTGCTTTAAAAAGTAGTAAAAAGCCGTCCCAAACAAAACCTCAATCTTACGAAGAGTTTTTTGAATTAACAATTCAACCTTAAATATCTCAATGCTCTTAAATACTTCCTTGAACTTGAGACTGCATGATCAAGCACAAGAATCATTATTTCATGAAGGCAATATTATACTTTACAACTTGTAGAAAATGCAAGTGTTCTTGCTGGCAAACCCAACGACATTCCCATGAATCTCTACGAATCCTTCTCAATAGAACTGATGGAAATCTTCTACCTAATGCAACGCAATATTGGCGTCTCATTGGACGTCTATTAAACTTTACCTGGTCAAGGCTAGATATAACATTTGTTGTCCACAAACTTAATAAATTCTCTGAATAACAACATTTTCCACATCTTGGAACTGTTTATTTTCTCCTCAGTTTCCTCAAATTTGTGTTGAGATAAGGAATTCATTTTCCAAACCACTTTAATTTTCAACTCAAAGCCTTCTTAGATAAGGATTAGGGATCATGTCGATATACTAAAAAAGCAATAAGAGGTTGTTTGGTTGCCTGAAAAAGGAGAGCAGTGTTGATACGGCATCACAAAATTAGCTTGATCGGGCACGAATCTCGAGGCAAAAGCTAGTTGGAAACTTCAAAAATTAAAATCAAAAGCACCTGAACTCCGATTTCAGCAAGCTTACAGTCAAACTTAGCGTCTCGGAAATACGAACCCAACGACACCAAGTTCAACCCAATCCGAGCCAAAATGAGTCCAAATCAAGGACCCGAAGTCTGTTGGAAGGTTCAAACCGCAATTTGAGTTACGAAACAGTCTCCGATTTTAATGAGCTTACATTCGAATCGAGCGGCTTGACGATACGAATCCAACGAGCCCAAGATCGCCGAATTCCGACATCATTTAGGCCTCCAAATGTCCAACGAACGGTGCACAATCGAAGGGTTCAATATCGGCCGTCCATTCAAACCACTCCATATTCGCCCATGATCTCACACCTATTTACGAGCCACGCCACTCCAGAAAAACTATAAATAGAGTCCTCATTCTTCACAAAGGGGGAGGGAAGTGAAGAGAGAGAATAAGAAGAGAAGAAGGAAGAGAAGGAAGAAGCTCCTCCTCGACCACCGGAACTCTGCTGGATTTTCGGGAAACATCGGGAATTTGCAGAACTTTTTAACTTTGTGAGAAGTTGATTGTAAACTGATCGTCTTGATTTGTAAGACGGATCAACCTTTGTACTTCAAACAAATACTAGTGGAACTTTACAATTGGGCGAGGCCCCGTGGTTTTTTCCCTCTTTCGGATTTTCCACGTAAAAACCTTGGTGTTCATTTCTCTTTTCTGTTTGTGTGCTGAATACTCGTACAACGCTCGGACGCAAATTTACAAACTCTACCGCCGCGCATATTCTAGCACGCAACAAGTGTAAAAGGTATACTTTGGAATATTTGGATGATTGTAAAATGAATGCATGACTTTACTTCTTCTTTTTTGTGGAAATAAAGTGAACGTAATGTAAAGTGTAAAAATGTAGTGCCTAGAGTGGTCAGCG